TTACCCGCACTGGCTGATCGATTCATCACCGCTGAGACTAAACCGCTGGGGCGAACTTGACATTTTGGCAGATGATGCTCTTTGCAGTGCTGTAGGCAATACCTAGTGTTATATATTTTTAATGTTTTTAACCATAGTTGTGTAGTTTTAATATAAGTTAGTTAGTATGTTCTCTAATCCCTTATCTAAAATTTTGATAAATGCCTTAACATGCCTATAAATAGTTTTAAATAACAGGAAAGCTTATAAAATGTCTATAATCTTTTAATCTTTGGGGGACAAACATTTGAAATTTATCCCTCTCCACGCGAGTTTAAATAAGAAAGACAGTCGGTATTGAGCTGTTAAGTAACACTTTGAGAACTGAAGAACACATTAACATTGTGACCTACCTAAATACCACAAATTATCACACACACCTACTTAATACGTAATGGCTCGGAAGGTGGGACGAGACTACGGTTACAGGTTTCCGAGTGTAGACTGTGCAGGCCCTTAAAGTTGTTCCTGACAGACATGTCACGGGGTCCCATTTCCTTGTCGCCATGTGCAAGTTGGTGACATAACTACCGTAAATACTAAATGAAGTCAGTGAATTATCGTCATTCACAGTTCGTTAGCAGCTCGAGATGTACCACAACATTTATTTATAGCGTCTACTGAAGCACCGACGAGCTTCTCGGAAACGTCCAACCTGTCGCAACTGTCAGTTGTCAAGTTCATGGCCATTACTGGTTCTATTATATAAATGGAAGCACTTATTTCATTGGTACTAATTATTTTTAAAAGCAATAACACCGACATTAATTTTGAGGTCACTAGAAATTACGTAGATGTGGAATATTTTCTGCAGATTTAATAAAGCGACCTCGAATATAGAGGAATGGTGTAGATACCGTGTATTGTACATAAGCGATTAATTAAAGCTGGTTAAAAACTAAAACACGATAGCGATATTATAAAGAAGTTTAAATACATTTTTACTTGGCAACTCTAATTCGTTAATGGGAGATCTTCTTTTCCTCTTCCCAAGTGAACTAAAAACATGTGCATCACATTGGCGGGTTTACAATTACAAAACAATTAGAATAATGCCGTACTAGTATGGAGATATGGGTCAGATCTGAATAGTCTACAAAAAGATGTAATAATCTTAAGTTCGAAAAATCTCTTTCCTACCTGACCATGACAATAAACACAGCCTTGTAACACCTACAATATTCCACATGGTGCAATGTAGCCTTATCAGAAGGTACAGTATTAGTTCCGTTCAATTACGTATATTGCACCTACCGTGCATGCAATATACAATTCTATTGCACTTGAAACTTATTTACTTATTCATTGGTGCAGCTGTATAGTAAACATTAGTAAACATTATTGTATAGTAAACATTATACAACAGGAGCGCAAGCCAAAAATAATTTAATAATTTACATAAAGTTAAGGCGTAAAGACAAAACTATCAGAGATGTTTAAAAAAAATGGTCTATACTAAGATCTGTTCGTATCGTCGGTCGAAACTAGTGTTGCAAAAATAACGATCAGATGTTTAGAAGGTTCCCCCAAAGTTTCCGCAAACCACAAGAGTGTTTGTGACAAGTGCTCTCGAGAATAATGCTATCGAAATACTCCAGTAATTAGAGCTACTCGTAGTTTTAGAGGACTTGTTTAAAATTAGGTTTTATGGTTTTCAATATGCCTGATTTCTTATAGTATTAGAGTATTGTGCAGAAAAATTTCATAACCAATGTCAAGTCTGAGAAAGGTTTTTAAAGCCTGTCATTGTCTTACCTGAGATTTATATTATCTGTGCTTTAGAGTTACGAGATGCCTGAATATGGAAAATGATGAACGACAGCCCATACAGTGTCTTCATTCTTGGTTTAAGTTACACAATTTCGTAATGGGTTACCAGAACAAAAAAAAACTGAATAACTATTCTAGTACCTTAACAAAAATCTCTTCAATTTCATATTAGACTGTTAACAAAATGGCTTCAATGGTTTGGGTTTGGCAATGCTAATTGGATAGCTTCAGGTCCCAGAACTGGCCTCGCGTGCTCTCGTGCGTAAATAGTGTAGATACAAAAAAATCATCAACATTGAGGTACAATAGAAATGTAATAAATGGTGCATTGTTTTGTGCTTATTTGCCAATTATAAAATGTGCTATCCATGAGGTAAAAAGGTATGTTATTATTTGAGCTTTAGCTAGTGGAAGCCAGAGTGACTTGACGTTACACTAGTGGAAGTAAAGGTGCTGACAGCACGAGTCCTTAGTAACAACCAAATGGTCTATTTATCATGACAAGTTCTGTAGCGCGCCGTTAATCGCGAGTATCCCACAGGGCGCAGGACTTACTCCATCATTCACCTCAGAGCTGTGAGCTGGCGGAGAGAGGAGGGAAAATAATTTTAATCTTAATTTAGAGGATACGGTTCAAGGCGTCTCATTTGCGAATGATATTAAAATGTTCGTACGGTAGTGAATTATGTGTTGTGGGTTCGATCCCCACATGGGACGACACTGTGTGATCCACTAATTGTTGTTCTGAGTCTGGGTGTTCTTTCTGTCCGTTTCATGTATGTTTGTAAAGTCCCCCGCGACACAGGATATTTTCCTAATGTGGGAGTTGTCGTATCTAAAAAAAGAAAACAAATTAAATAAATAATCAGAGAGGATTTCTTAACTAAGTTAACTAAACAAAAAAAAGTAATAAAAAAAACAATAAAATATGCTTAAGTGCTCTTTACTAAAGTAAGAAGTGTAGAAACATATTTTTAAATTAATTATTTCAGACTAAAATAGTAACTATTGATCCTTCATATCACTCCCATTATCACTTTACACACTATACACACGACTGCAAACGCCAAGCAGATCCAATATGTCTTCAACCGCTGACAGCTGTCAACTTGTTTGATAGCTGTCAGTTGATGTCATATTTTTAACCAAATTTATACTTAAAATATAGAGAATTGATAGGTAAACGGTTAGTGACGTAACCAAATATGATGCAAGTGTTTTACCAGATAAAAAATGATTATTTTTTGACGTTTTATGAGGATTACAAAGTAAAGGTACTTCCGAATGTGTGCGGTGAATGTCCTGTGTCAGATCCCGTTATTAATTTTGTCTCTATCCAATTACATTTTGACAGAACACAAACCCGGCAGTTCGTTGCGTCTTTTAAATGTGATTAATTCACATAATATTAATAATTCTATAATTTAATACAACTATAGTGTTAACGTCAACAGCTTTTACAAGTCCACTAAAGAAGTCTCTCCTTAGAAAGAAGGTTTTAGCCTACAACGTTGTGAATTTTTATTTCCTACTTACCTACTAGTCAATATTCCTGTTAAATTAATCTTATTTAATGGCGTCTGCACTTGTATGTGCAAATATGATATTTACTCTCATTTTCATTCCATCCCATCGCCAAGCAGGCTCTAGACTGAAACCCTCAGGGAAAATGGCGAGCGTTCGCGTGAAGGTAAACTTGTTGTGGACGCCTTCTGCCCCATCGAGGGGACATGGGACAAACGTCAGGGTACCAGATTTCCTTTCTAGGGTACACCTGGTTCCCCGGCAACTGGTTCCCGTAGGGATTTCCGCACAGGAAAAAAAGGGGGGCATGGCACATTAAAGGAGAAAAGCCGTTTTGACACAAGAATTTTTTTCACCGACTATTTTAGTACGAAGTCGCAGTAACTATTTTGAAATGATGTACAGATCGAGGTACTGTTAGATTTGGTACATTTGGGTACTTTGTAGAACAGCATGCAATCAGTAGGAAGGTTCTAGATCCGCGTACATTCTTAGCTATCGTCTGTTTTGACTGTTAAGCACGTACAACACCCCCATTGTTGTGGAAGATCATTTTCGCTTGAAAGTCACGTATATCCGGCACAACTATTCTAATACCTATATTTCCCATAGCTTTCCTTACAGTTAGATGAAGTTAAAGTGAGTTATGAAGTGACCTGTTTTGTAAACTGCTCGGTCTTTGTTCAGCCAACAACATATTATGAAACAAGACTAAATAGAAAACGGTATAATAAAAGTTTTAATATAATTTGAAAACTCGCCAAAAAACGAACGAGCAAATGAATTACGTGAGACGTAAAATGATGTTATAATTTTTAATAACAAGAGTTTTTAGTTTGGAACTCACTGAATATTAGTTATTACATTAGTTTAGAAGTTTAGTTATCAAGATTTATTAATATTCTCTTTTCATTCATTACATTTTAGGTTGAGGGCTTGTAGTACTGCTAAACACGTTTATAAAATTAATTTTTGAAAGATTAAGCAGTGAAATTAAAATCTAGGAAAATTTAATTAATATTGTTGAGCATATATTCTAGGGATTGTATCCGATGGAAACATGATTTAATACAGTTGACTCCATAGAATAAATTCACAAAGTTACCTCTTTTCGTGTAATTTTATCTCCTTTTTCGATTTTATTCTTACAATAAGTGATTTGAGATTGTTATTTATTTTTTAGAATAAAGTTAATAGCTGGAGGATCATACCCGATCGATTATTTTTTTTCATCAATTAATTATTTTATCGATTATTTAAGTGATCTTCGACACTCGCGGCGCTCGCCTGTATCTTGCGGGACGTTACCGCGGTAAGACGTTACTCGAAATGAGAAGGGCTTATTTCTACCAAAAAATAGGACAGAAGAACAGTAAGTACTGTCTTTGTATTCTTGACAATCGCTATCACAGAATAAATAGTAGTACATACCTATATCATATTATTATGTCAACTCAGGCGCATAGAAGTCTTTAAATAACGACTGTTCAACACTCGCACAAATTGGTTTTAAATTTAAGAGTGTAAAGTAATGCATTAAAGTAAACATGTTTCTAAATTAAAATAAATAAGTAAAATAATAATAATTATAACATTAGGTATATAACATAGGTAAATTTTAGATAGGTACCTAAGTATCTAAAATTTACCTACTCAAATTTTACAAGATGTTCCTATGCCTTCGTCACCTGCGCCAGAACCAGTTGTTGATTCTGAAGCCACCAGGTAAGTTACTAGAATACACTTATAACCGCTTTTATGTGAAGTAGGTACTTTTTATTAACTTTAGTAGATGAAACATTGCTAGGTCTGTTGGAATACTGTTCTATTTAGCCTGTGGCGACAGTGCGTAAATGTCTATTGCGCTTGGGACACCCGGCTTTAAATCAGGGCTACGAGAAAAAACAGTTATTATATGAATCAGATATTTTCTTTTTTAAAATGAGCTCAATCTCAATCAAAGGTGTCATGGGGCGGAACATGATAAAAAAAACATTTTAAAGCTACCTCCTAACTACTAATATTGTAACTTTACTTGTATGACTGCATTGAAATAAACAAAAACTAAAACCTGAAATAGTACTTCCTCTATAAGTTTACATCGAAATATCATTTGCCTATGACTCGGGATCAAATTATCTTCGCTCAAGGATTATAAACACAAGTTTACTCAAAAATAGAACATGAGGCAGTTAAAATTAAGTTGGTTTTTGTTTACCTTGTACACCGTGGTCGATACAGGAGACATGCGCAGAGCATTCGAGAGTTTCGGTAGACCAGTCGCGCGACCGGCAGAGGAACCAGTCGCGGGGGCTAAAGAGAGCGCCCCTAGCAACGATCAGCTGTTCCCCTTGCTACGTGCGGCTGTTTGCAACTATTGCGATCTCAATTACTGAATGGTTGACTGAGAAGGGGTTTCAAGTAGAGTGGTTGTCGTCGACAGATAAGTTACACGGTTCGTAACTACCTCACAATAGTATAATACATTTTACTTACAAAGTAGACAAATTTGATGATATTATCTTGGAAGCAAACTCTAATTAGTGTTTATTAAGTGAATATACAAATAAATAAAAAATAAAAATGAAAAGAGCTAAAGATCCATAGTTAGTTAGTTTTCTTAATGGCTAGCTAATATCTCCAAGTCACCTTTTAAGTAAAAAAAACGGAATCAAGGTCAGTAAATCTGTTAATAACTTATAATATCATAGATAGGGATACGTAAACACACGTTGACCTTATAACACCCGTCCCCTTATGGGTTTTAGAGAATAAACTACCTAAAAAGAGTGTGATTCCTTTTAATGCAAAATAAGTATGGGTTATAAAGAAAGCTGACCCCGATTAGAAATGGCACGAGCCCGAACAAAGAGAGGGCGAACAAAGAAAAGTAATAAATGATGTAATATCAATAACTATTCGTTTTAACTATTAAGGTCTATTCGTAGGTCTACGTGTAGGAGAGGATTTTTGTCAAGACTTAATTTTACCTCTTTGTCGAAGTTAAGCAATCCTAGCCAGGTCAGTCTATGGATGAGTGACCATTCTTAACATATTGAGCTTTGCTGTCGGTCCCGGTTGCCATACTAACATCTGTGGCGCTCGTTACGGGCAGTTGGAGTCCTGAAAAGTCCGACAAACAGTATATCTACTGACCTTCGATATCGCCTTCTTGGTGGTGGCAGTCGCTCCACGTAAAAATGTCGGCGGCACGGCTCAGGGGATGATAATTTTACATCTTTGTCAGCGTCATTACCTACCTTCCCCTGCTAAATCTATAAGGACTCCTATGTTAGGATGAACGGCTAAAACGATTTCACGTCTTGTGTACCTACTTGATCCTACGCCCTGAAATAGGATCACACTGCCTAATAGTTACACAGCAAGGCCAGATAATGTAGTTCCTATAACACGATTATAATTTTAATCATTCACGTAGAATTGTTAGAAGTGCTATGTTAAATGACTTTTCCCATAACACTCATACACTCTGAATACGCCAGTTCAACTTATTAAAAAAAAAATCATAGAACTTCTATTTGTTTAATGTAAATAGAAACTGTCGAGTCTAACGAGGAAACAGTTTCCATTTTTCACTGGGAGATAATAGTTGTCTGTAATTGAAAGTTCCATAAAACAGCGAGTGGACCAGCTGGTGCCAACGGGCCCGCGAGCTCCGGTGTCGTGAAGGCGCTCGGCGGCATCGATCTGCGCCGACCTTGGCAATGACGGAGGACGACTATTTATAACTAAGTTCGGTCTGGTGCAGGCGGTGCCCAGCCACCCCACAACCCCTCCGTACCCACCTCACCCCTTCCCTCGCCAGGGGCGCCAACCACCCCACGATGATTATGAGAGCTTACAACACATCACATGAGCTTTGATGGAAATTAGTTTTTTTGTTGTTCCCTTAAATGGGCTAGTGTTGTCATTGCGAGATTATAATTGCACGCTAAATAGACAATTGTTATTGATCTTTAGATATGGGTTCAAAAACTTCAGTTTTTTATTTGTAAACTATTTTTTTTCTTAAGTTACTATTAAAAAGCCTTAATGTGATTAATTTTATTTTTTTATATATCGCTGACTAAACGCTGACTAAACGCTTTAAAGGCCTATGAGTGGTGCAGAGAGCGATCTTTTGGCTACCGAAAGGCGTGACTATAATATATTAAAATGTAAACATAAAATATTTCTATAAATATATTCAACAAAATGAAGAATCAATTCCGTCCCCACACACCCTCCCCGCCGCGCTGTAGCAGTATCACATTCGGTACTGTTACGATGGCGCCTGTCTATATTTACGCTCACCTGTCCTTAAATAAAAGTTAATTTTATACACGTACTTTATTCGTACCAAACGCAAATATTTAGCGTGAATAACTCATTTAGACAAAGGAGTCCTCCAAGCAAACGTTAGTCACCCCTACCCCATTTGTGAATGAAATCTGTGACCCAAAAAGAATGAAAGATACAATGTATAAATATTACATGTTCTATAAAAAAGACTTGAGCGGTGAGGGGTATATACGTTACTAGCTCCACTAGTGGCGAACTTTTATAGCTACCAGCGGTATCTAAATCCTGTAAAATATGAAATGAAACGAGAATAGAGCTCACTAGTTAGTTGTTGCTGGGCGGAGAACGATCGATGCCACCTGCGGGGCCCCGGGCGGGGGGTGGCGGAGAGACGCAACCCTCATCCCGCTTTCCAATACTTCCCGCCTTCCACCCTGAAGCGAACTCTGTGAATGCAAGCGAAGAGATTTATTTTTAATTTTTGCTACGTGATGTGAATACAGAATGGTGATATCTAAGGAGTTACAGGTCTCAATCGCTGCTTTTTGAACGAGACAGAAATTCCGGCGTCCGGAAATGTTTTGTCTTAAACAGAGGGTACTTATTCCCTTGCAAGCTTTCCCTCACTCAAATTATCTATCTGATCATTTTAATTACCTTTCACTCTTTTGAGGTTTAATGATTGCATTTGTCCAGGAAATGCTTGAATCTACATATACTCAAAGACTTACTGACACGTTGACTGCGGTATGGGGTCATAACGACCTTGTGCCTAACTAATTTAAGGAGCAGCTGTCGATTTAATAGGCATTTCGATATTGCGGATTAACTTTGGCCTTTCTTTTAGTTTGACAGTGAACAATATAAATTTGGAATTGTCTGTTATTGTACTACTTATAGAAATACTAGGGTCCGCGGCTCCGCTCGCGGGTTTTCTAGTTGTGTATGACTCTGAATCTGCATTTACACCTTTTATAACCGCAGACGGTGCTGATATATATATATATTATTATTCTCGTACTGTTACAACTACAACATTATGTTTGGCATACATACATATTTATTCATTTATTATTGATTTAGCAACATTTTCATTATTTATTTTGAAGAAAAATATTATATCTTTGAAAAAACGGAACTCCTATAACATCATTTTGTTGTTCGCCTGCCAAGATCCGTTATCTTGGGAACGCTTGAAAGTACCGAGTTGAAATTTGAGCTGTAAAAATTTCAACCTTCGAAATTGAAACTTCTAAAGGGCTACTTTATAGGCTACTTCCCGTTGACCTAGAACTATAAAATTTAGTAAGTCACATCGTTTTGGGTAAGTACAGGGAAAAATCTGGCAACATTTGTGATTAAATCATAAACGTAGAATCATAATTTAAAGTAAAGTGTGTAAGTGACAGTAGATTGCAATCATCGAGGCACAATTACCTTTTAAAAACAATAATAAAAGTAATTACAGGGTTTTGGAAACTGAATTTCGGGAAAAGCTCGGAAAAAACCGTGAGACTCGATTCCTAGGCTATTTATAAAATGTACCTACAAATTGGTACGGAACCATCGGTGGGCGATTCCGATTTAATCTTTTGGTCTTAATACTGCGGCAACGGCAAATACTTAGACCGAAACTTAGATTTTAGTGTTCTGTTTTTATATTTTTTTTGTTTTTCTGCAAAAATGCTACGAAAACGTACCTTCAAGACTCACCTACCTTGTGTTCTGAGTTGTTAAAGCAGCAAGCTTTCAGCTTTGTCCGTCGCTGCGTCGCCACCACTGCATATCGTAACTATCTGAAGACTGCAAAAACGAATTGTTGGTACTAATTGTTTAGTTTTCAAGTTTTTTGCTAATATTGGCAGACTTAGCCCTGAGGTATATTTTCGAAATTACTATAAATTAAGATAAGGCTCTAGCCCTTTCGTACGACACCTTATCCGTAAGAATATGTCTAAACAGGAAGTTAAAAACTGAGTTTTCTAGACTACTTTCCTTCAAGTTAGTGTAGAATCGGCTTTTATTTTGCTCCGTTTGGTTTTGTACCACCCAAATTTACTGAGGCTCGGATATATCATAGCTTTTCTGGTAGCAGAAGCGCAGGACCTATAGAATGTAAATATAAAACTTGTGATAACTCTGACACTTATTACAAATTCTAATCTAGTTATCTAAAGTTATCTAAATTTTAGGCTTCATCATCATCATCATCAGCCTACCGCAGGCCACTGCTGGACATAGGCCTCTCCCATTGCACGCCACTTAGATCGATTTTGAGCTTCTCGCATCCAGCTCCTGCCATAACGTTTCCGTTACCTTATTAATACGTACAGAATTCTGAAAACGGAGTAGGAGTACGGGTAGAGGTTTTTTTCTATGACATAGGCCGCAAACGAGCAGACGGGTTACTTGATGGCAAGTGACGACCGCCGCCACTGAACGCCTGTAATTCAGTGCGTTGCCGCTTTTGAGTCGTGACTCTCCAACGATAGAAATATTACTAATAAACCTTATTAATGTATATGAATAAAACACCAGTTTAGCAAAACAATAGTGCTTATTGTTATCACACAGATTTATTTGTACGATAGTAGGCCAACAGTACTGGCGACCCTTATGTACAGTACTTAAATATAGTAAGCATTATTATCGTAATATAAATTAATTAATTTTAATAATACTATACAATTTCGTAGCCGCTACTTAATTATATGCGTTGTCTAAAACTAATTCTTCTGCTAGTGGAAGGCCGACCCTGATATCTTTCCACAGCAACAAATATTTTCATTTTCTTAGAGATCATTTAACTTAACTTCATTTAAGAGTACATAATGGTTTCAACTACGTATTAATCCCAAAAAAAAACGGCGTGAGGGGTCTATGGTCCGGTAGGAACGAAGTTCCTTTCGCTTTTTGGTAGACGTTTATGAAATATAAAAAAGATCTCGTTCCCTCGCGTGTAACGCGCGATAGGGAACTTCGTTCCAAAAATTATTTAAAGTCTATAAAGTAATTAGAAACTTAGGTAATTTTCAATAGACGTTAGTTTTCGACTAAAAATGAATGATGATGTGAAAAGCCTCTCGAATGTATAATAAAGTAAGCAAATCCTGGAGACTTAGACACTTCAGTGAAAACTAATTACAGTAGTAACATTTGTTGAACAGCATTATATACAACGTTTCGTGAATCAACCCAAGTTAATCAAACCTCTCTCAATTATTCGAAATTATTCTAGCGTTATTTATAATTTAATCTCATATAAGTCTTTTTCACTATGGGAATCCAACCCATCCAACGAATTGTCATTAATCAAATTCCTTATTCAGTGCAGCTTTGGAGTCGGTCTGAACCTGGTCCCATTCTTCCTCGACTCTGAGTAGGACGTCAAGGACCTGTCTCTTGACAGTAGATTGCAATTTTCTGGGGAGGCGCTTGGTGCTTTGACAGACGCTGGCAAAGAAAAGCTCGAGTGAGGAGTGGTCTGTGGCGTGGTAGTTTGAGTCCCATAAATCAGGCTCGGGCCTTTCTTCCTCTACTTCTGAAGCCTCTGTATCATCCAGTTTCAAATCTTCTTTTATCTGTCTCTCACTGTAATAAATACAAGCTTATTAAAATATTGTTATTGGTATATTTAATGGAGTTTTGGTTGGAGTTATCTAATTGCGGAGCGGAGAATCAGAGTCTCATCATCATCGCCGTCAGCTGAATGAAGGGCCTCCCCAAAGGAGCGCCAACTATCCCGATCTTGGGCAGTACGCACCCCTCCGTTGTCAGGCATCCATTCCTTAAGTCGTGTATGTAATTATATCATTTATGCATCATCATCCTGGCAGTCATAGGACGTCTACTGACAAACAAAACCTTTTACACTTGCCATGTTAGTAGCAAGAAATAGGGCTATGCTATGCTATGCCATGTCAAGAATGCGACAGATAGATACCGCTTTTGCAACGGCAGCTGACGACATAAACATTTGTACAAAAATCCAGTTTCCCACTGGTTACCTTATTTGTAGGAGCCGTTATGGTAAAATACAAGATAGTATCGTCAAACAATATATTTGCCTGACATGGATTAAAGTTTAGCTTAGCTTAGAGCGCCTTCACAATATCATTCTTCATTTGGTTCTGCCGTTGAAAGCGTATGAACTTCAGATTAAACAGAATTCAAATACATACTAGGTTGAGCAACTTTCTATTAAAATGACCGTAGTAAACTGTTGTCGCGTGACCAGAAACTCCAATATTTTTTAACAGAAGTTGTTATTTAGTAACTCTAAAGAAAGGAGGAATATGAATGTCAAAGATGTTTTGGGTTGCAGCCTTGTAGGGACGATGTTTTGTTTTTTCTTGTTTTTATTTTCATTTTCTTTATCTTCAACCTTTTCTAGTATGTTCAATGTTACAAAATTCTATACAACATACCTCACATTCAGATTGAAGAAAATAAATGTACAATAATAATAACAATAATAGAATACTTATACACTTTTTTTGGTACATACATATTGTACATAGAAAACCCCCAAACTCCGAAACAAATATTTGCATTGCGACCCAGGATCGAACCCGGGACCTCAGCAGAGCAGTCGCATGCGCTACGACTGCATTACCGAGCCAATAAATATCTGTCGTGTGTTTTATGATTAAAAAAGGCAAGTCTCACTGGTACTTCACCTTAAAGTATATCCTAAGTCATGGAAGAATGGATGGCTCACCGTCTCATCGTCATGTAAGGCAGCAAGAAGGCCATGCGGCTCTGGAAGCGCCACTTCTTGCACGGCAGACCATTCTTAGTGGTGGCACCTTTTTTGCTACGTTTGAGGGCTTGCCGCATCGAGTCGCGCAGGATTTTCCACTCCCGTTTTAGAACTTCACCTGGCAATATTAGAGAAAACCTTATCCTTAGATACATACCAGTGTCTTAGATCTATGGTGTCCTATGACATGACATGACTAAACGCACAACAAACATAAAAAAATATGTAAAACTACGGTTGGTTACAATTGGAGGCCAGTGAGGGTAAGGGTGTTGGAATCAGGGCGACCGTGTCCACCCTATCTACCTACTTTCCTAAATGGCCTTGACAATATAAAATAATACTGGGGGAAGCTGTGAGCTGGGGAGCTGTTGTGTAATCGGAAAAAGCTAAACTAGGTATTTGTAACAATAAATTTTCATTGCAATTTAAAAACAAACTGAGTGCATTTAAATATGTAATGATTCATTGCTTGTTTTTTTTTATTTACAATAATAACAAGTTTGGTAATAAGTACTAACGTTGAGTATTGGTAAAGTTTATATTTTTATAAAATATTATATTTTGAACTAACGATACCACTCACTATACTTGCATTTGCATACATTGACATTAAGTAGCATTTCATATCGACACTATCTGTGCTCCTGCTGGTTTGAAGGCGGTCAGTGAGAACCTATAATTAATAATATTCCACCAGGTTCATATAACGCCATCTAGTATCAAACTAAGCAGACCTTGGACCTACCAAGGGTACTCATATAAATACATTACATACTTTTTTTGTAAATACATGCATAATCATAATAGAAACGTCCTTCCCAAATCAAATAATAACTCTTTAGGCACACAAAGATTTTACTTGATTTTACTTGAGAGGGCGTATAAAGCAAAATTACCAATATTATTTTTGATTTTACATGAAAAATTCCGGACCAAATCTTAAAATAAAAATGTATGAATAACTACATGATATTTCCGAGGGTTCACTTTGATCAAAAACATGAAATAATAACATTTCCTCGATAGAAAAAAATCACGAAGTAACCTCTAATTCTAATATTTTTCCGTTTTGTACTCGATATGGTAATGCCTATTGCGACAAAAATTTGATAATTAATTATACTTATACAAGAGTAAAGGCTTTGTTTAGGCATTTTATGTAATTCCTTTTAGTTTTGGATTTTGACGATATAACAGTTTTGGCGCATACTACGTTTTTATTCCGCGCAAGAAGTCATCGTCCGTCGCACGTTGCGGGAGCTACATCAGTCGCTACCGCTCCGTTGAGACGAGAGGACTGCGCTCAAGTGTTTAGGCGCGCCGAGTTATTATCAATTCAATCATAATTGTTGTTGTTGTTCCAAATAAAAGGTGAAATGGGTAACAAGAAAAAAACATTGAAAAGACTTCCGAAACGAAAACTAAAAAAGTTACAAATGGAGAAGATGGCTAATTGTCGAAGGTAAGTTTGTGAGTTATGACGCGACGATATCAAAAATTCATAGTAGGTACTTTATTAGATTATTAGGATAGGAGGTAATAAATTAGATATATAATTTATTACCTCCTATCCTAATCTCCTATCCTATCTTCACAATATTATTATTCTTCACAATAAAAAAATCTGATCATTTTCCCCTAGTGTAATTATGATATCTTCCAAAAGTCTAGATAGACGTATGGACTACATAATGATCTTGCGAGTATTCTATAAAAATATTAAAATAATAATAATTATATTCTCCATAAGTCTATGATCACTCATAAGTAACGCGGGCAGTATAGTTTGGTATAGTATATGCAAAATAAACACAAGCTTTTAGTTGGTGTCTGTGTTTGTTCGATGAAATATATTTATGTCGATTTCGAAGCTATTTAAGTATGTCCATTAGGTATTTAAAACCTGCCGCGGGCCGCCAAAGAGTGGGGACCTCTGGTCGCTGATTGAATGTTGCGGTAGGGGATAGGATGGCGGCCTGATTGCATTAAGACGAAATTGGGCCGCCACGTCGCGATTGAGGGGGGAAGTGATTTTCCCCTGGGATAGGGCCTGACTAGGCATGGTGTCAATTCGGGGAGGACCTGAAATAACATGGTCCGGGTCCTCCTAGAGTAGGGCACCTGAGGCCGGCCGTCGGGGTGGTTTTTAGTGGAATCACCACATACTCCTAGCTCCTAGCCCCGAGGAGCAGGAGATCCGAAGGGATTTTCCACCCCGTCAACAAAAAAAAAAAAAAGGTATTTAAAACCTATTTTTAACCGACTTCCAAAAGAAGGTATATATATATATTCGTGTACACAAAACATTTCGTAATATTGTATAACGCAGTCATACTTTGAATACAGTTGTTTCATCTGATTATTATACGTATACTACAGAAGATACGCGTCGAGCGAGCGCGTAGGTACACGCGCGATCGTTTTCGATGTGAGGGGAGCGGGCAGGGGAGCGCGGGTGAATTCTTAAATTTTGCTGGCTTTATACGCGCTCTTAAGCGGGAATTGAACCAGCAACCTTTGGCGTAGCAGTTCGTTACATAAGCCACTATGCCATCCAGCCATCAAAAAATTATATACTAAGGCGAGAAAGCAATTTTTTGTATGCCTATCTACAAACTCACTCATGTGAATATATTGTGCAAGAAGAAATATTATAAAATGAAATATACATATATAATCAAACGACGTGTAAAGATAGAAACATGATTTATCGACATTGGTTAAAAAATCGCAAGTTTAGTTAACGCTCGCAATTTCTAACATAAATTGCTATGAAATGCCACCATGGATTCATGTAAGAGTTTTACAAAAGAATAAAGCTTGTATTTCGTAACAGATTGTTAAAGAAATATTTTTATTAAAGTACACTTTTTTTTAAAAGAAACCAAATGCAAATGCATGTTGTGTGTTGAGTTTGTTCGGGACAGCGCGGGACAGCGCGGGGCGCGGTGCGGCGGCGGTAAAGTTCGCCAGACGTCAGTGCTCGCCGAGACTTGTTCGAGGTTGGATGCACGTAATTGTGCTCCCCGAAATTCCCCGCTTACATACGTTACAATCCGTTTTAACAAAGTTTCAGCAGAACGCTTATAAGTCAAAAAAATATCTGATTTTTAAATTTATTTCTTTTATCGAAATGGGTAATAAGAAGAACAAAAGATCACATAGAAAATTAAAACCATGGGCACATCGAAAATTTATGAGGGAAAAATGGTAAATAGTCTTCATTATATTATGTATTTATGACACATCTATATATTATTAGTTATTTTCACTATATTTGCATACATTTATGACGCTATATTAATATTTTTCGTAAAGCAAACGTAAATCACCATTGTGACCACTTACTTAACCACCTCTTTATTAATACTGTTGATGAGCAGTATTCATTGACAGTGCGGAAGGTATCAGATAATTTTGTGAGGAATATTTATTTTTGGTACAGTTAGGCATATATATAAAGTATGTGGAAATCAACAGTCAATTTATTGTTATTTTGCAGCGCTGCAATGATAAGAAGAAAAGCCACGGGCGTAACTCAGACCGAACAGCAATCAATCTGTACTGATCACAATACTACGTAAGTTTGTGTATGTAGGAACAGTAACAAAGGAACGAAATTTAATCGCGTCCCATCAGTTCGTCCCAATTTCATGCAGCTAAAAAAAAACTTAGGATAAGATACGTATCTATGTAACGCACGACATTTTAATATTTTATTTATGTTTATTGAAAAATGTAATTTATTATTTTAAATCAATTGTCATTTATTTTTTAACCAATTTTTGCATGCCGTTAAGGAAACCCAAGGAGGACATCATAAAAATGTAACACCGTTGAACAGCAAATAAATAAATGTTTAATAGGTTGCTTAATATAAATAATGCCTGTTTGTAATTTGGATAGTCTGTGTATGAATGTATGTATGTTCGCACACATTTCTTCGAAACTAACAAACAAATTTTGATGATTTTGTTTTGAAAGTTTTCTTTGCAAAATAGAAAAACCAACTTTATGAGAATAGAATGTTTGCACTGTATTGCATTGAATTCTTAGTTAAAAAAAGGTCTTAGTAAAAGAGAGCATGTCGGTCTATGCAATAAGAGATCAAGTTTTATTGGACATGAAAAGTAAGCTAAATGGTTGTTACGCGTTGGTGTAAATAAGGACCTTGTCAAGAACTCGAGCAACTGAAATCTGGGAATCCCCCTTTATTTCTGTCCTTCTAACCTACTTTACCAATACCTTTTTTTTTGACGGGTTTGAAAATCCCTTCGTACCTTTAACCAATAGCTACGGTAGTCATTTTTGTAGTGTAAGTAAGTGGCTAATTTTTTGCTGTTGATTTCCCAAAATCTAAATATTTACATTGTTAAATCAAACAACCAGCAGTCGTGACTTCTGAAATAAAGTAAGGCGTGCGCGTGTATTGACGCCTTAGTTATTAGGTCTGTATAACATCTTACAAAATATAAAAGGAGAATAATAATATATAACGATAACTTTAATAGTAATTAACTTAAAGGCAGCCGGTTAATTGAAAACAAATATGCGTAGCTATGTGTAGGTAAAGAATTGTGTGAAAACCTGTTTGTTTATTTTCATCATCTGCTTAATATTGAACTTTATATCTATGCGGTTAACGTTTATATTCCTTTACATCAAAGTACGTATTGTAGATGAAGTGACATAAGCACATACCGGCGCTGGTAAACACAGTGGCGAGCCATGCTATACAGTATACTGGGTTCGGCCGGTCGTGATACGTACTGTTGGCTCCGAGTCGCTCGGAGATCTCAAGCCAGCAGCGGTCTCTCACGTCGATGTCGCGGTGGTTCTCGTTCCGGGTGTCGTACAACACCGGGTACTTCTTCACTTCATCGATCAACCGCTCGCGATAGTTCCTCGTGTTCATGTCGATATTGTACAACACACACGTGCGTCCGAACCGTGAACGCGGCCTTCCGAAGCGACGCCGAAGCTACACTGAGAGAGGGAAAGCGATACGCGACGTTGCCGCTCCGCATCGCTCATCGCTCGGTGTGCGCCCTGGCTTACGTGCAAAGAGTACGGTGACACACACTTTGTGACTTCTTCGGACGAGAGAAGAAGCCCTCTGTTTTCTTGAAGTGAGATTACACCTACGCTAGGGCTTCATTTTTTTATTCAATAAAGGATGCTTAACATAACATTGTCTGCACCTCTTCCTTCTGGCGGTAAAGCTTAACAATAACAAATCAGAATGTATGTTTCAATTTGCATTTTGTTTACAAAAGCTGATGAAAGTCTGACATATGTATATCTAGATCGCGAGTATATAACTAACCTAACAATTTTCAATGAAATACTTCTTACTTTTTATTTTATTTATTTATTTACATAACTACACAATTAGTTAAATGTAGGCAAAAACCACTGAGGTTTATGCGGCATGCCACAACATGGAAAATCAATTTAGTTCATAACAATTAATATAAATATCACAATATGTAACATAAATATCATAATATATCATTAGGTGCATTTAGTGACGCTGCATTTTGTCAAACAATACGTCAGATGTTTTTTTAAGTAATTCCATTAAAACAGTAAAAAACCTCAAGTCTTATTAACAAATTCAGTAATAATTACAATTCACCCCTTTTTTATAGAAGAACTCCAGAAGTATTTGATGAGATCTCAGTTGTTTTTGAAAGTTTAAGAAAAAAAGTCAATGACACTGTACCTACATCCACTATCTATACACGTTAAATATGTGGATATATAGTGGATATAGGTAGTAGATATGGGTATTGACTCTTCAGCTGGTTTAGTAAAGAAACCTTTTAAGAACTGCGCAATACTTTGTAGTAAAACGGCGTGAGGGGTATGTGGACCCCGGTCGGAACGACGTTCGTAACGATAGTAAGAAGTGTCGGAAAAAGTGTCTTTACATATTTTTTGGTCTGGCTCCCATTCGTTTAGAGTGTGTAACAATACCTAAAAAATATCATAAAAGTATAACATCTTTCCTCCCACTTTCTTTCAATCCCTAGGAGTGCTCTTGTAAAAAAAGATGTTCTTAGAACGACACCGGTAGACAGGCGGCCCACAAAAGCACAACTGAGCTGACCGAGCCTCTATCTTAGTTCGATAGGCTTTGATATTAATCATAACGGTTTTGATATGTAGAAATCATTTGTTACAGAACAAAATTTCGACTCAAGACTATGCAACAGACTATGGACGCTAAGACCCCTAAACCCTATGTATGTGATAGAAATGTTGACGAGAACAATATTAACTTGAACACCTCGCGCAAGAAAGCTGCCGTACCGACTCGAGACCAATCTAACATCTCACAAGACTCCGATGGAATGATCATTCGTTCTTCAAATACTGCCCCAGTGGAAGGTTTGGATACCTGCTTAGTGCCTGTAAAGGTAGAACAGATCGACAATAATCCTTCGACTAGTAGTACAGAAATTAATGAGACTCTGCGAAAGCGAAATCTGAGTGAAATATTCCAATATGAGGTGCCAACTAAGATAGTCAAAATAAAGGAAGAAAACGACTATCTCACCGTTTTCGTCGACGAAGATAAGGAAGATGGACATCACGAAGATGAAATCGTTGCTAATCAATACATATATGACATAACATTTGTTAATCCGATCATTTGATGGATTCGGTGACGCCGATTTTGTTAAACATTACGCCAGTTATTTACTTTTAAAGTAATTCCATTAAAAACAGAAGAAATGTTTAAATGTTATTCCCAAATTAAGTACTTAACAATTAGATCTCACAACTTTTTTGGTAGAAGAACTGCGAGATTTGGATTATTTTCCATGTTATGTTTTTGATCAGTTCTCAGTTATTTTTTAATGATTTTTAATTAAAAGAAAAGTAGTCAATGACACTACACCAGCCTATATCTACTATCTATCAATGTTAAATATGTGAATAGATATATTTGAATATGGATAATAGATGTAGGTCGATAAGTGGATATAGATATGGATGTAGATGGTAGATATGGACTTTTAACTTGTGAAAGAACTATTCTAAGAACTGCATGGAGTTCTTCTTATTTTTTTCTTTTAAAAAAAAGAAATAAAACTGTCAATTTTTTTAAAAGACAGAACAAAGTATTTGTTTATGACGTTAACAATATAAGAGGTTATTAGTACTCTTTAAATAGTTTAAATTAACTCTGTATATTGGAATATGTCATTAAACTCATTTTTCTGCTAACGTTACTTTGTCAACTGTCGGAGGCGGTGGTTCATAAAATAATATATTACATTTTTTTAATAATTTTCTTGGAGGCTAAGCGATACAATATGTGAGATTTAATTTTTCCAGTACAAAAGAAGTTGTAGTTACTTATATAAAATAAATGAAAGTAAAAACAAAAAAAAAAATGATTACTGTTTAATAAATTTACTTATTTATTTACATGTATTGTTTCGTTCAGGCGACTATTTATATCAACGTATTGTTATCCGAGCGCCATAACTTGAGACCTGATCGCGGTGACGTCACAGACACGCGTTTGTACAGGGTGCACAAAAAGTAGCACTACAAGCTTCGTCTATGCTATTTTTTACATTAAGAAATAGCAAAATGTTATTAGCAATTAAAGTTTTAATCATCTGGCTGTATTAATATTAGTCTGGAAGCTTTCCAAAAAATTCTAACAAGAAATTTTCACAAAAATAACAATAAAATGCAACAGAAAGTCCAAAAACAAAACAATAACAAGCTTACAAAATTAACAACAAAATGTAACAGAAATTCTGATAACAAAATGATAACAAGGTACAACAAATTGTAACAGGAAATCTGACAACAATAGGAATGTGTCGTCGTTACGTGACGTATGCCAGTACGAGAATAATATGTTAGAAAAACTGGCGTTGCCTACAGTGCAACGAGGGCGCTCGAAGGGAAGTGACAGGGGAGCGGGCGGGGAGTCGCTTTCCAAAAAAGTCGAGTTACCGCGTACGGATAGTAGTCAGTAATTTAACTCGCGCACACTAACGTACACATTATAAGGTGGCACGGCGTGGTTATCGTACTCCGAGCAGTGAGCACCGCACGAACAGTACGGCCACGGCTGCGACAGGGAGCGGGCCTCGCGTCATCGTGTCGTAACTCCCCTCGCGCCGCGCTCTACCCCGCCCCTAATATTCAAGGTTGCTTCACAAGTTTCAAATCTCTATTTAATAAAAGAAAATAAGATTATACTATCATGGAGGAGCAGGATCAGAGTGAGAAGAACGTAAAGAGAAAACGAAACTTTCGTTGTGGTGTCAACACCTGCAATATTACTTCTACGACACACCCGCAATACTCTTTCTACAGTCTTCCTAAGGACCCGATAAGGTAAAATGCTTATATATTATGTCAATCGATTTGTTACTACTTACGATTGTTCGTGGTTTGAACTAAGAAAAAAATAATTATTTCGTATAGCACAGGAAACATAGTAAAGTCGAACAGAAAAAGGTGTTTCTACTAAAGAAATAGAAGTAAAGTTTCTCAATAATAATAATTTGACAGCCCTAGTGCAACGTACGCGGTGAGTTTAGTTCCCAGCTCGGAAAGAGCGCGGGGCGGGGGGCGGGGAGGGGGGCCTTTTACACACACAAGTAAACACAACTATTATAACCCGGCAATCTCGTGCGCGACCGTCCCGCGGGGTGACAGACAGTGGCGGGGGCGAGGTAGCGCGTCATTCTAGCACACGGTTACACACGAAGAGAAGTGTGCCAGGATAAATCTTGCGATAAGTTGTACTTACTTGTGACGTAATATAGGAGTAAATAAAAATATAGAACTACTTTTATTGTTTAATTTTTTTTATTATGCTTGAGGACAAATTATTAGGCAAACTAAAATTATTATAGATTGTTTTATTATAAATCAATTTCCATATCACTTTCATGTTCACTCTTCGTTTGATCTTCTTCATCACTTTCGTCGTCATCACCATCGTCGTTTTAATTCAGTTGAATTATGAATCTAAAAAGATAAATATGTACTATAGAAATAACAAACAACTTCACATACAATGACCTGATTCCGAGAATTATAGCTTGAGCACTCTGCCCAGTTAAAGCAATAATAATCGATTATGTTAATAATCCATACTAATATTATAAAGCTGAAGAGTTTGTTTGTTTGAACGCGCTAATCTCAGGAACTAGTGGTCCGATTTGAAAAATTCTTTCAGTGTTAGATAGCCCATTTATCGAGGAAGGCTGTAGGCTATATATCATCACGCTAAGACCAATAGGAGCGGAGCACCAATGAAGAATGTTTCAAAAACGGAGAAAATTTATTACTATTGAGAGACGCAGACGAAGTTGCGCGGGTCAGCTAGTAAACAATAACGTACCTGTGCATTTCATCGTCACATACTCTATCTGAATTATAATATTCGTCCTCGTTTTTATGACGTGATTATCACAATTGCGCCACTGTTCAACCGAATAATTGGAAAAAAGCAATTCTAAAGCTTTTAACTTTTTATCTAAGTTCGAATCAATGGAAGTCCTTGCGAGCTCGTCTTTTACGTACCCCCACACGAGTTCAATTGGATTTAAATCCGGATGGTATGAGGGTAAGCGAAGCACGATATGTCCATCCTTCAATATTTCATCAATTTTGTACTGTTTCTCCGTGTTTTGCTCATTAATTATTTTCATTAGATCACATTTACGCATAGCGCTATCATACTGAACACCTCGCCGTTCTAACCACTGCTGCATTTCGCTTTTCAGGGTACTCATTATAGGTTTGTTATCGATCTGAGTGCTATGGTAAGCGGCGTTGTCCATTACAATAACAGAATTCACTCAATTCAATTACACCCAACCCATGAGGAAAATCAACTCGCAGGTCCCAGTCGTACCCAATGTTCCACAGGAGGGGTCCAAGAACAGACAGACAGGTGAAACACCGTACATGGGTCGAAAATTAAATTACGACTATATTAGCGATTATACAGCGTTATATGCATTACAGTTATTTAAGTTAAAATACACACCGAGGTATGAAATTATGTATAAATAATTATCTGGAAAGCGCGATCAAAAGTGCGCGATCTTCTTCGGAGTAAATTGACAGAACAGTTACAACGCTAGTACAAGACTCAGTATTTTTATATTTTATTAAATTTATGTATGTTTATATTTATAAGTGTGTTTACATATTGTGTATGTATTGTGTATACTCGTACTTCTAGAATTCTACTATGTCAAATAAATTTGTTTTTTTTACACTCAACGCATCATATTTGTACATCACCTGAAGATTGACTGGGAGAGAATTAAGAGGCATTAAGTCCGCCTTCGTACAACATGTGCATTAAGTTTTAAATAAATAAACAAATTATTTTAAGTTGTATCTATGTATGTTTAGTTGTATCTGTGTTTAGTTCGGGCCTAGAAAGCATGTGTTATACATTAATAATATACGGACATAATTGATGCTTAACATTTTTCCTCTCATTTTCGCTCAATCTCTAGGAGGGATCTTGTAAAGATAGATGTTCTTAGGGCGACCCCGGTAAATAGGCAGCCTACAAAAGCATAGCTGAGCTGACTGAGCCTCGATCTTAGTTCGATAGTCTTTGATATAAATCATGACGGTTTTGATATAAAGAAATTATTTGTTACAGAACAGCATTATGGCTCAAGAAGATGCAACAGCCTATGGACGCTAATACTCCTAAACTCTATGTATGTGCCAGACATTTTGAGGAAAAGTATATTAACTTGAACGTCTCGCGTCAGCGCCTTAAGAAAACTGCCCTACCGACTCGCTTCCTACCTGACGACCCTCAAGACTCCGATGGAATGAACGATAGAGACGAAGCGTCTCTTTCTTATAATAATTCCCCAGTGGAAGATATCGATACCTGCTTAGTGCCTGTAAAAGTAGAGCAGATCGACAACAATCCTTCAACTAGTAGTACAGAAATTAATGAGACTCAGCGGAAGCGAACTCTGAGTGAAATATTCCAAAATGAGGTGCCTTCTAAGATAGTCAAAATAAAAGAAGAAAACGACTGTCTCACCGTTTTCGTCGACGAAGATAAGGAAGGTGGACATCACGAAGATGAAATCGTTGCTAATCAACATATATATGACATAAAATTTGACAATATCTTAGAACTTAAAAAAAAGAAGAAAAGTAAATATAGTAATGAATTCAAGATGTTTGCTCTGGATTTATATTTTAAATGTCCAAATGCTTACAGACTTCTTCAGACCACCTTTACTTTACCACGGATCTCAACAATATATAGAGTATGCATTCCGAAGACAAGTGTGTTGGATGAAGGTGTCATAAGAGCTCTAGGTATCAAAGTTAACGATATGACGCCAGCGCAGAAACAAGCTGTTGTATGCATTGGAACTATGAGGGTTTCGCCAACTATTGAATATGATGCGGTAAATGATACGATCTTTGGTTTCCATGAATTAAATGGAGTCCAGACGTTAGATCCGGCTGGGTATGTTTTATTAGTTGTAGTCAGAGGACTCTTTCATGATTGGAAACAGGTGGTAGCCTTTACGTTTTTAAATAATTGCCGAACCTATAAATACATAAACTTTTTTGTTGACAAAGTTATTAGGAAACTGTTTGAGATTGGCCTCGAGGTACGTATACTTTTATCCGATCTTGAGTCAGACTCACTAGTTGCCGCTAAAGAGAGAGGAGTGGATGTCAAGGATCCATTTTTCTTTGTAAACACAAAAAAAATATACTTTATGTATGATACTCTTCATTTGATGAGAAACGTTCGAGATAACTTTATGAGCAATATCTTAACGTTTAAACATTGTAAGTTAGCCAAATGGAGCTACGTAATGAGTTGCTACGAACACGATAGTAAAAAACATTTACTGAGACTCGCGCCTCACTTGACAAAGGATCACATCAAACCCAAGAAGGATGCAAGGGATAACCTAAAATGTACTGCTGAACTTTTCAGTAGGAGAACTGCAGCTGCTATCTCTGCTTACATCGACCTTGAGGTAATTGCACGAGCTGCGAAAGAGACGGTGCAGTTTATACTTACAATGAGTAAACTGAAAGACATGCTCAACTTTAGTACCAAGTATCCCCCTGAAGATAGAAAAGCCGTATTTACAGGCGAAACCAGTCAAGTTGACTTTTTGGTTAGCATTTTATCCCTATTCTTTGACATACGTTTATCCAATTTGAGTGTTTCAGAAAGCACCAAGACTACAGATATTTCAATATTCAAGGAAGGGTTTAGGTTGACGATTAACTCACTTCTCTTGTTATATGGAGCGTTAAAAACAGAGGATTGCTGGCTACCAATTGTGGGGTTAAGCCACGATTGCCTCACTGATTTTTTTGATAAAGTTTACCAGAGACATGGTCACCAACCGACTGTTCAGAAAGTAGTGATGTGTATAACCAAGTTACCTATATTTAATGTATTTCAGTATTTTCCTAAAAAAAAAGTGGCAGGTGAAATGGAACTCTTTTTGTCACGAGCTAAGAGTGTGCATGCTATTAAAATGTATGACGAAGAGCTTACTGAACTATACGTAGACAAGTGTGCTCAGGCAAGTTCAGAGTTTCCCACTATTGCATTACCAGATGAGAACAAAGTGCAGCACTTGGCTTTATATTTATTGTATAAAGGGTACCAGGAGCATTCCAACTGTGAAGCCATGGAGAACTATGTTTGTAGGAAAGATATCATAGAAAACAGTGAAAGTGGCTTGCAGCTCGGTCATGAAATTTGCGAGAATAAGATAAACTTGGTCCCACTACAGTTCGTTAATTTTCTTGTAGTCCTGGAACTTAAATTTAAAGAATATTTTAAAGAACATCGCATGCCTTGGACCATGGCAGGACTACAAAGTCTTACATCAGATGTTACGTTTGAAATGCCTTGCGGGTGTTTCCCCATAGACTTTATAAAACAGTTGTATTTCAGGTTCAGATTATATTGTGTTCTGAAGTACAACAATGCGTTATTCAGTCAGGAGAACTCGAACCATGTATTTGTTATTAATGATTTGTGAACTTTTTAAATAACAAACATATAATTATTTATACGTATACAAATATAAAATAAATACCATTGGTTGAATGATGATTAAGTATCTTCAGAAATGTCTGCCCGGAGTATTTAATTTGAAATAAACACAAACAACCAATACCCAACCCAGGTTTAGTCAAATATAGTTTGGTCCCCATAGCGTGATGGAAGTCAAACTTATTACCTTCTCTTTGGGAATGATATAAATCTACATTATATTTTTTCAAATCCACAACACTCAGCGCGGAACGAGGTGACCGCCATCCATGCAGTCCTGCATATTAATTTCCAACATTGTTACTCCTAATGAAACTACACATCCATCACAACATTCGCCTTATGGTTAGGTAAGCTACATGCAGGCGTCTCTCATCGGTTCTATTCTCGTGTTCCAATGTGTGTTGAATTTCGCATTGCCCGTAAGTTTTAGAGTATTAAGAAGTAAAAAAACGTAGGCATCAATCGTAGGGTGCTGAAGACACGGCCACGGCAATAATGAGTCCGATCGTGTGATTGATAGATCAATCAGGCGGTCGAGAGCGGTCCTTTGTTTCTGATCACTGCAGTTGATTTATTCGGATAAATGGCGTGTGCGGCAGGCGCGGGTCCGCCCGGTGAGATATGATCTTGGTGATGGCGGGTAACGAATGACCGATAATTAAAGCTCATTGATGGATGGTGACATACGTTGTGGGCGAATGTGGATTCAGACCCTTTACGTATTGTTTTCGTCCAAATATTATTCCATTTGATTCATCTTTGTAGGCAGAACAATACTCTGTCAAAGACTATGAGTCTATATATTGACATTTGTGAGTCTTTCTCGAAATTTAAAAGGCGTTTCGGAAATTGTGAGCTTAATGTTGTTTATTGTTTGTGTTTTATTTTTTCTCCTAATTTTAATTTTATTGCACTTTCAATTTATTGTAAATCCTTTGTTGGAGATCCTTAAATAAATAAATAAAAAATATTTCATTGTACGTTTATTTTTCCACGGCATACATGTATTATATTTTTTCAGTTTGGATAATTGGAGCAATATACACATGGGTGGTCACTACTTCACCGGCTATTACAACTATCTACTTTCAACTCCTAGAATACATTTAACTCAGATTTTTCCACTTTAAGTATAATAACAGTGTGTTAATTCAGCAAGTACCTAACTAATATTAGTAACAGCTTGCCAGAAGTAAGCAATTATTTCTTGGAAGTATAAACTGAACGTACCTACAAACGAATTTACTCCCACAATCAGACATTATTATAGCTATAACTTGCTTTTGCTAGTGGATTTTCTTGTCTTGAAATGAATCTTTTAAGGCATTCCCTACACTACCGCCAACTACAGTTTCAGTAATTATTCTGGAGACGGTTTTCTCAGCCTCATTGTACAGGCCTTATACTACATAATGCCAATAATTCACTAAATTTCTGCTGCCAAAGCAGTTCTGAGAATGCTTAGCTTATTTCTAAAGGCTTCGAAAAAGTACAAAGAGTTTCAGACAATTTAAGATATCCTTAACTCTATCTAGTTAATATGGATGTCAACACAAATGTGTCGACAATCAAACCCACATTCGAATCCATTTAGATATTCTAAAGATTAACCACCACATTAAGAAATATATTCATCTCAACTTCATTTTATGACTTATGCCAGGTAGTGTTCAGATAAAAACCTGGTACAAAAACCAAAAACATAACTTGATGTCTTATTAGTAATAGGTGTCAATATAACTAGGGTCAACAATTATGTCAAGTGCAAGCTAGGTACGTACGTCAACGTTTGTTAACTCATAAATCTCTTTTGGTATAAATGTTTAGGAGTGGCTGATTCCATGACATTGTCGGAGGGCACGCCGAACGGTTAGTGGTCACCTTGCGAGATCGTAGGGTTGCCATCGTTACTGTTGCTGGGTTAGAAGTTTTTTATTGCATGTTACAAACGAATCGGAAAAGTGCTCTTGAGCTAAGTGTGTTCTAGTGGCTTCCAGTACAAAAAAAATGAGGTTTCAGACTGGAGGATTAAAATTGGTGGTGGTGATGTTCTGGATTCTTATTGGATGATAAACCAAAACAAATTTCTTTACAACTCTTCTGTTCTTTGTATTTATGACCGTATAAAGTGAGTTGATCACTTCTGGTGAATTAAACTTTGGCGGCACACAATGTTGTATTGTGTGTCATAGAAAATGTAAAAACATCTGATTGTGATATTACTGTACTGTATAACATTATGTACAATGTTTATTGGAAATTGTACGTTCCTACTATATAAGGTAAGTTTAGGCATACAATCTTCACGTGGCTGTTAGATTGTAAATTACGTTGTTAAAAATAAAGTATAAATGGCCTAAATAAAGTACATAACTAAAAATAACACAGTATACAGTAATATTTTAATTTAGGTAATATATTTAAATCAGTAAATATCATGATGGTTTGATTGTACGAGTAATATAGGCGCACATACAATCAAACATAGCGATTGTGTGTATGTGTTTGACAACATGACAACTTTCTTTCTGACGCAACAGATTATTGTGAAGAACACTTGTCTTTGTTGATTTTTATACTGAATAACCCAATTCATTACAGACTGTTGTATGGCCACTGCGCCATAAAGGGTGAAGAAAAAGCAGAGAACAAAGAAGAAATTGTAGTTGTAGTATTGCACAAAGAGGTGCTGAAACTTGTCAGTTGATCTGCGTCTAAAAGATTTAGCTTTTAGTTTTATATCACGCTAGGTACAATTACTTTACTCAAGTACTGTCAAGGAATATGGCGTAGAAAATGCTTTTTATGTGTATAATATACAAGAAGGTTTACAAAATTGTTGTCTGCTCTTAAAGGACATTTTAGCAGCCCTACCGCTTGACCCGCCCGACCTCGTCGTTGTTTGCTGTTCTAAATTTGGCAGTGGCTATGTGCTGCGTATGTAACAAACTCTGCATTCAAAACAGTAACTATTACAATAAATAACAATTTATCATTTAATAGATGTTGAGATGTCAAAGAAAAGCTCTAGTCATCTCTCCTGGCTTTTTATGATTTAGAAGGCAAACGAGCAGATGGGTCACCTGATGGAAAGTGACTACCGCTGCCCATGAACGCCTGCAACTCAGGAGTCACAAGCGCGTTGCCAGCCTTTGAGGTAAGGGTATGCTGTTTTGTTGAAGGTTTAAAGGTCGTATCGGTTTGGAAATATCGCAGGCGACAATTTGTTCCACAGATTGGTTGTACGAGTCAAAAAGATTCTTGAAAAGCGAACGGTGGAGGAGTACTATCCAAATGATGGAGATGAAAGTTCTGCAACGTGGAACGATGGAGAAAAATGCGGCCGGTATTAGTCCGAGCAATTCCTGGTTTTGTCGATGTTATTTCGATCCAAATTAGGACTGCTTGTCACGATTGGAACCTTCAGCGTGCAAAATACCCCTGTTTTGTTGTAATAGTCATACATTAGAGTAGGATTGTTTATATCGCCAATAGAATCTATTGGGAATTGAGATGACGAATAGGGTTGGCAACCACCATTAAGCGACACAGCTAAGTAACACACTACAACTAACGCTCCTGGGAATTCCTGAATCACAACTCACTTCGGCCCCACACCCAGTGTCTGTAATTAGGTTACATAATTGTGGTTGAATCTACAACACTTGAAGTCATAACATTTACTGCAGTAACAACTAATATATACAACCCAACGGTAATTACGCACATTCTTTAAAATAAAGTGTTTTTGCCGTCAAATAACCAGGTATTTAGTTAAGTTATTAATTTTGTGTACAAAACAAAACATGTATGTATTTAGAAATTTAATAGTATGATGATCAGCAGTCCGGTTACCATAGAACAAGTTCTTCCTGGTTTGGGATCAGACGGCCGTGTGTAAGGTATGTGAAAAAAAAAAATACAAAAGAATAATAAATATATTAGAAACACGCGTAAAAAAGTTTTCTTAGAAACAGATTTCTACTCACAGTGGCCGACATCAGTTAGGTTAGTACTTACCTATTGTTGTTATTTTAACCCTATTGGGTTTAAATATCTAAATATTATTTTCCTAAAAACTAAGTAACTTTTAGGGTTCCGTACCTCACAAGGTCCCGTCTGTCCACCTGTACGTCTGTCCGTGTGTCACTACCGATTTTCTCAGGAACAGGTAGACCTAGAAAGTTGAAATTTATACCAGATACCCTCAGTATCTATAGTCCCTATTAGGTGTATAAAAATCAAGGTCCTGAGTCAACACGATAAAAAGATATGGGCAAATTTCGATTTTCGCGAAAACTTGTAAGTACCAAAATTTACCTTAAATTTTTGTTTTCTTTTTAGGGTAGGTACGGTAGAACCAGGGAGTTCCTTTCTAGGGTATACCTGGTTCCCCGGCTATTAGTACCCGAGACGGTTTTTTGGGTAGGTACGGAACCCTCGGCGCACGAGTTCGACTCGTACCTGACCGGTTTTTTTTAACAACAATGAAAAACTTACATCAATATTTTCTCAGTAATAAAATTAATGTCTAACGTTTCATGAGGATGCTGATGATTTCGGATACTAAACGTATCTACTTAATGTACACACTCTTTAAATAAGATGGTCGTAATTACTCAACCAGTGAGCAGATTATCTCAAAACAGTCTCTCGTCAGACGATAAAATAAACCAAAAAGGTTTCAAGCCGTCATTAAAGAGCCCGTAATCACATGTGCGCCGCATTTCGCGACCACTCAACCCGTGACCTGAAAAAACACTCCAGCGCATCCCGGTCTGTCACCGTCTCTTTTGCACCCCTCATGTTTAACATCTGCCGTCTCATTTGCAAATTAAATGCTGGGCTATAATGGTATACGGGCGATTAATATTGCAACTCGCCTCATGAAATAATATTTGTTTCTCGACGGAGCACTTAATTGTGTGGAAAACTTTTTTTTTTCAGTGCCCTATCTATTTATACAGGATTTAATCAGTAAGTGTGGCGTAAAAAATGGTAAATTTCAATTGGATTTCTTTAAACCTTCTCAATAGATAAGCGTGTATGGTAAAAACAATTAAAAAAAAAAACAAAACTTTGAAAGTTGTTTCTAATTCATGCGTTAAAATATGCTGTTTAAATGAAATGTTTGCTGAAAGTATCAAACAAAAATATTTTTAGCGTATCAATGAGAAGAAAAGGTAACGTAGTTTTTGTTTTCAATCAAATGAGTTAAGTATCTATTATGTTACGTCATACAATGTAACTAAAACAGTATTCGTGTAGGTTACCCTAAACAAGTAAAAGTGAAAAAGATATAAGAGAGAAAAAAATTATTGCACATTGCTCAAAGACATCGATTGAGTAAACGCGTGTCGAGTATGTGTCATTACATCTTTTCCTTATTATTAGTAGAGTTATAACTCGTAAGACGCACTCTTGCCTGCTTTATTTTCTAGATTCTCGTGGTACTTTTAACTTCTGTCTTACAATTTAAATGCTGTCTGTCATGTTTGCTCTCATAATTTATTTATCTGTTAAGACCCACTGATCACCCCGATTCAAGACAGGGACGGGGCACGTAATTTAATAAATTTGTGATTCAGTGTATCGCGGGTGACGCGCATTAGTTTTCGTCCCATGCCACGTTTCGGCCGTGTTTAGGTCAGATTTCGGTCAACAAACAGTCCCGAAAAAAGGTAAAACGTAAAAAGGGTCCAGTTAAGAGCTCGCTGGGGCTGCGACTGGCGCAAAGGGTGCACACAGCTGAAGGGTCGCCTTGAGGTGAGTATGTGTAGAGGGACTATGTGTACACAGAGACAGAAAGAAAGATAATATGGCCTTGGAGAAAATCATGCAAAAAAACTAAGTTTTGTTGTGTGCAGTTAGAAGGCTGATCTGTGCAGTGTCATTTTAACCTATGGCTTGTAGAGAGCATACGGCTTAGGAAGGAAAACGAGGTATATTGAAAGTGATTTTCTAATTTTTAACCCCGACGCAATAGCGACGGGGGTTAAATTTTTAATTATTTTTTTTCTATCTTTAATAACGAAATTGGCTTTTATTTGCTTGTAACCTATTACATAACAATGACCAAGTTAGCGTTTCTCCACTCCTGTCTAAGGAAAAATAAATCGGCAGTCTAAATCTGATTCATATAAGGTAGGTACTATGTTTACGGTAAGATTAGACTGTGTAAGGCTCAGTATGAGATTGATGATATAAAAACCTATAAGAGTTACTTTCCTTTGTATAAGTGTACAAAAAGTTGAAATAAATTCTCTTGACAATAGACGTAGTCGGAAACGTGATATATCGACAGCGTGTCAGCGAAAAAACGCCGCTTTTATAAGTGTACAAAAAATGTTCAGGACCTTCTACTACCGACACCGTTCAAATACAAACTCAATCCCCGCATCATAAGGCTCAAGTTTAAATATCAATAGCTTCCATCTCGAAAGATTGATCCGAGTTTTAATAAACCAAAATTAAGCTTTGCTCCGTTGAGTTAGGATTATGATTGACTTGAGGCGCTGATAAGGCCATGTTTCATAATAATTTTACCTGGCAATATTGTTTAAATAGTTATAGCGTAAACCTGCAAGTGCCAACATGCGCTTAACTCCCCACGGCAAGAATATAAAAGAAATTGGGCGAATGCGAGCAGGTGATTATTTTTTTATAGTTTAATGATGTAGGTACAAAGATCTGTCATGCCCGTAAGGTATAGGGAACGCCCGAAACCGTTGATGTGGTATTGTGTGGGCACATCGCGCACCGGAGCAAACTGAATACTATGATAAGCATCTTTGTGTTGTGTGAGGACCCTATAAACCCAATTTGATGCAGGTCCCGCGTAGAAAGGGAAGCGGACCGATCAGCTGATCAGCTTTTTTGTTGGAGGGTCCTGTTATAACACCTTATTAGGTACCTGGATGACCGTACGTGCAATTTTATTGTTAGTAAACACGTATACGACTGTAGGATCTCTTCACTACGTTAGTATCTTCAAAGAATTGAGTAGGTAAACTTTAAATTGACATGTATATTAATCTTATAGCTGTATACTTACATATAATAAACTGTAGGTAGTCAAATAGTATACTAGTAAATAGTAATATAAGACTATTAAATAAAGTAGGTAGGAGTTTTACAGTCTTTTATTTTTATTTTTTGAAAAGACAACTTCCGCATTAGGAATATATCCTGTGTCGCGGGGCACTTTACAAACATACATAAATTGGACACAAAGAACACCCAGACTCAGAACAACTGAGTCTGGGTGTTCAAAATTTGTATCTCACACATTTTACGTCCCATGTGGGGATCGGACCCCCAACACTCGGCGTAGTAGAAAGCGGCGTGGCGACCGTTTAGACCACTACGCCATCCGTGCAGTCGCATTACATAAAACGTTAATAACCCTAGTCAACCTTCAATCCTATAATAAAACAGGGATATTTTTCAATTATATGTATATTCGTCATCTTGAGTGATCATATCTATAATCTAGATCTATAAATACTTTATATCTCGTCTGTTGAACACGACCAACCCCTACATGCTACAAAAGATAGAACAAACAAGTACAAAATGTATTACTACAGGGAACCAGTTGAAGGCAGTCTAACGGTCCCTCCTGTGCTCGCCTAGATTGAGGCCAGGTAATGTACCACAGACAGTCACGCCGGCTACTGGTGCCGCTTACAGTTGCAACACCCGGGT